CCCCAAAACCCCAAAACCCCAAAACCCCAAAACCCCAAAACCCCTTTTAAAAGCTAGATTATTGAAATTATACAAAATGTTTGAATACTTCAATAAAGCCAAACAGATCGGACCGATGAAGAAGATCGCAAACCTCGTCAACAAGTTCAAACCCAAGAAAGAGTATACCATTGGGGACGTTACGGTCAAGCAAGAAGATGTTATTTCTGAAGGGGGTTATGGGTATGTCTACTTGGCCCATAAGAAGGATCATTTTGATAATAAGTTTGCACTGAAGAAGATCATGGTTCAAGATAAAATTAACTATGAAGCTGTACAAAGAGAAACAACCCTCTGGGCTCAACTGGAAGATAGTCCTTATCTTTGTAAATACCTTGGTCATATTGAGCATGAACATGAGGGATGTAAGGAAGTTATCATTCTTTGTGAGTATTGAGACGGCGGAACGCTTATAGATCTCCTAGAACTGAATGATCTCAAACTTATAGAAGCGGATATTATCTATCTCATGACTCAAATCTCCCAAGGCCTCAAGATAATGCACAGTCATAGCCCTCCGATAGCACACAGAGATATTAAAGTTGAGAATATTTTGATGAAGGAAGATAGCTGCAAATTAGCAGATTTTGGTTCTTGCTCAACTGATACTCTTGATTACAAGGAAGATAACAAAACAGTAATCTCAGAGAAGTTTGAATTATTTGAAAAATACACTACATTGATGTACAGGCCTCCTGAAATGATCGACAAATATCAAAAATATCCAGTAGGAACTCAAGTTGATATATGGATGCTTGGATGTGTACTCTATACCCTCTGATTTGCAAAGCACCCATTTCAAGAAGCTCAAAAGTTAGCTATTGTAAATGCTCATTATTACATCCCCGATGGGGACCAAGAGCGAATAGGTACTAAGCTGAGGGACCTCATCAGGCTTATGCTCACTCCAGATCCAAGGAAAAGACCTGATATCCATAAAATCTTGTGCATCCTTGAAAATTGGGATGAAATCGATGCCATCCCTCTCAATGATGATGCATTTAAAGTAAAATCTAAGCAGGAGGCTATCTCAGAAATTAAACTTAGTCGATATACTGAGATGCAAACAGATTCTTTAGATGGAAAAGATCCATTTGCATTGAAAGTTTCTGATCTTAGTTCATCGCAAGAGAAACCAAAGGATAAAAAGCACCCAGTTGAAGGTAAATCTGACACCTATAACTTTTAGAGCATAGAAAAGAGGATTTGAAGGTGCCTCCTCCTGATACGATAGGTTGGGCTAATTTTGAGGATCAGGATTTTCCAAATAAAGCTCAAAGCTTCGAAGAAGATTTCAAATTTGAAAATTCTGACAAAAAAGCCCAAAATAACAGTAATCCTAACTGGTTTGATTGAGCTTTTTGGGGTTTTGGGGTTTTGGGGTTTTGGGGTTTTGGGG